TTTTTTCCAATTTCAATTTTTTATTTTTTATAATTTTTTGTATTTCACATGGCACGCTTTGATTTAGAAGAAAAAATTCAGAACAGTTTTTGACACTTTCGATACCAGAAGCAACAACAAAATACACGCAATTGTTGTTTTTGCTCTACTGATACTACCTGTTTAATGTGCCTTGGAATGTACTAAGAAAATATATGAGCGAATTAAAAAGTGTATACAATTTATAGACGAAAAGTACATTTTTTGTATAGATTTCGTACTGAAGGCACAATTTCATTTCCCAACACTGATACAGAATGTAAACAAACACAGGGTTGCAAGGAAAAAAAGTTGAACGAGCTCAAAGATGGCTGGCGACCAACTTTGTTGAAAGCGATTAGTGGAAAGGCCGTTCGGACGAGGCGACTTATGCTTTCAACTAAAAGTTGCCTGAAAAATCGCCGCGTGCGAAAGCCCTATTAGATGGCCAGGTTGATCATAAGGTATAGGTGGATGACAGATTTAGTAGTGTGTTAAACATATTTTTAATTTGTTTATTAATTTGGGATTTTGTTGAATTAAGCACGTATGCGTGTCTTGAGTGATATTAGTTTGATTTTTTGTATGTGTGCTTAGTCCAGGGTTGCATTAACGATTAAATCAAGATTTTATGTTGTGAAGAGAGAAAAGTTTGGCGGTATAAGATTCCATTTGAACACGTTCCGCGTACGCAAGGGTGATAGGTTTACAAAAAGTCTACCATTTAAATTTTAACACACCAGAACTTTATACGAAATTACTACATCTATATACATGGATGTTTATATATGTATATATCAATGGTTCCTTGTTATTTCCTAGCCATTAAGTTTTTGTACATAAAACACTTATACAAAAATACTATATCTGTGTAGGTACATTGCTCTGTACGCTTAATATTTAAAACAAAAGTTGAACAACCGAAAGTTGTGTACAAAATTTGCTGTAAATTAACTGATAACACTGGGACATGTGTCTCTTGTATTTGTTTGAAATGGTTTGTTATCGTACATTTTGTTAGGTGAGATTTTCAAATTTAACAACAAATTACTCGTAAACTATGAGTTTCCCCGCCGTCCGGTTTTCAGTTTTGTGATGTGTACGACCCCATCTGTAGCCCCCATAAAGTCATTTTGTTCAAAGCGTGGTGCAGTCTCGCGAAGTCAACCCTCCCTTTCGATTTACAAGATGAAGCAGATACCACCGGCTTTTAAGGCCAAATACAAAGCGCAGTGGCAGTGATAGTTTTTAAAAACAGCTGTTACTGCTAATGTTGGCAGTCATTGCCGCAGCAAACACAAAACGGCGTTGTCAGTGACTGCTTTTTTTGACATTCCCTTTTGTTTACATTTATGTTGTGGCCTTTTAGGCTTATTCAACATGCGAAGTTTGCTGCGATGAAGGCAGTGGCAATGAATTTAGAATTTGGGCTAAACTGAGTAGTACTGCCAGCTGCCACTGTTGTATCGTGAGTCGCTTCATTGGACACCACACTTTCAAAAAAAAAAAACAGCTGATTTCGAGAAACCGCTGCTGCCATATTGTCACTGCACTATTGTATTTTGGGCTTTATACCATGTTCTGATCGACATCGAAATCATGTTTTCGTTGGTGAAACTGGTTTTCGGCCTAAAACTTGTGTTTTCGTCCATGTAAAATCTGTCAAACGAAAACTAGTTTTCGTTGAAAACCACTTGAAAAAACACGTTCCACTCATTTCTTTCGGTGTCTGTACTAGTTTTCTTCGATTATTTATCGAAGTGGAAGACTTATTTTATCAATTTTAATACGTCATTTCGGATTTAATGTTAATTGGCTGGCCAAAATAAAGTAAGCATGGAAGTAAAAGGTTGTTAATGAAAAGAAATTGAAGGAAAAGTATTTTGGTTTTGTTTTTGTGTAGCAAAACTGTAAACAAAGGATGAAAGGAATGTCAACGAAAACACCAACAGTCGGTGTGAACCGCCTTCAGCCCACAATCCCAAACCTCGTTTTCAAGGTGTTTTCGTTGTCGGTCAGAACATGGTATTACTTTTTTTGATTAATGTAATTGAGTGAAAACTATCGATAGAGCTTACAAAACCATCGATGCTTTCGATAGTCAAAAGCCTTCGATACTATCGATAGTTTTCCTGTTCTATCGTATCGTTCCATCCTAATTCCACTTCTACTCAAGGCTAAAATCTAGTAAAACGTGCGTTTGATTATCCCTTTTTATTTTTTTAATTGAACAATGAAACTATATCCTACGTTGAGTAATAGCCGGCCTGAATTCAGAACATATCCGGAAAAACTTAACGAGGTAAGCTTTTTCTTTGACTTGATTTCATAATATTTACTTATTATCTTAATAGCATTTAGAAAATTTAGGAGCACCGCATTTAGATTCCTTCAATGAAATGCTTTCCGATGGCTTGGCCAATTGCACAAAGTACATGACGCCAGTTGGCTGTAGGACACCTGCAGGAGAACAAATTGAGCTTCGCGTCGAAAGTATCCAAATTGCAAGACCTCAAGTTCCGATAATTGTAATAGATGTAAAGAATCGGTTGACGTACCCTGCGGAGTCACGACAACTACACACTTCCTATATGGGTATGTGCACGGTGCGAGTTAACTGGACGGTTAATGGGTTGAAGAAGGCTCCAATTGATGTGGAACTAGGGGAAGTGCCTATTATGCTAAAGTCGAGCGCATGCAATCTTGGTTCACTAAAACCAGAGCAGATGGTCAAACACGGGGAGCACGATACTGAATGGGGAGGAACTTTTGTTATCAAAGGAAATGAGAGAATTATACGGATGTTACTTATGAGCAGACGTAACTACCCGATTGCTGTCAAACGCTCCACATGGAAAGATCGTGGAGCTAACTTTAGTGAAATTGGCGTAATGGTGCGTACAGTACGCGAAGACGAAACTTCCTATAACAATGTATTACACTTCCTCAATAACGGAACTGCGAAGTTGATGTTCTCCCAAATGAAAATGATGTCTTATGTGCCTATATGTCTCGTACTACGATGTTTGGTTGATTATACCGATGAGCAAGTATATCGAAATTTGGTTCGTGGATATGAAAAAGACCAGTATTATGTGTCATGCGTACAAACGATGTTAAGAGATGTACATGGTGAAGGGCTCCACACGCATAAAGATTGCAAAGAATATTTGGGCAAAATTTTTAGATCGAAATTTCCCGAAATACCCGATTGGAAAACCGACATGGATGTTACTGATTTTATCCTTAATGAAAGAATACTTATACACTTAAACACCCATAAAGAAAAATTTGATATGCTAGTGTTTATGGCTCAAAAGTTGTTTCAGTGTGCACAAGGAAATTATAAAATTGAAAATGTAGATTCTGTAATGATGCAAGAAGTTCTACTTTCAGGTATGAAATAGTTATAAATATGTTTGCACAATATTTTATTTCAGCTAGTTTGTTCAAAATAAGAACAATTTTCTTCTGCCCTGCACTTTCTCAGGAAGTATTAAATTTAATCACGTTTAAAATTATACAGAAATACATTTTTCGGAAACCTAATTCAACAGAAAGAACAAAAGATAATTATTATTATTTGGTTAAAAATATTACTAAATTTCCATTACATATTGCAGGTCATTTGTATCAAAAGTTTTTAGTGGATCGCGTAGATTTATGGCTGCAGTATGCTAAGAAATATTTGCTCAGGCGTCTAGAAGCTCCAGATGTCCTAATAACCCCAACTTTACTTACGGCTTGCTTACGCAGTGCAGGTAGTGTCTCTCATGCAATGGAATCCTTTCTGGCTACGGGTAACGCACCTTCTCGATCTGGTTTGGGCCTTATGCAAAATACAGGTCTCGTAGTAATGGCTGAAAATATTAACCGCATTCGATATATGTCGCATTTTCGGGCAGTACATCGTGGTTCATACTTTACTACCATGCGTACGACAGAAGCACGCCAGTTGCTGCCCGATGCTTGGGGCTACATTTGTCCGGTCCATACACCCGATGGTGCACCTTGTGGCCTCCTTAATCACTTAACAGTGTCATGTCGCATATCACGCATTCCAGACAAAGGACTTGTTAAGGTTTGTAAAAAGCAATATGAAAATAAGTAATTTTTAAGCAAAAAATACAACCGAATTCAATTCTCACATAAAAACTTAACGAGTATCTTTTTAATTTCTTCATGATCCAATTATCGGATCTAAAAAAATTCCGTTCCACCTTTCCTTTAAAAAATGAATTATAGAAGTCGGTTAACGTGGTCCAAAGATGTTCGGAACATACATAAAAAAAAATTACGACGAATTGATAAATTCCTCTTTTTTTTGAAGTCGTGTAATAAATATTAGGCAGTGTCTACGCACACGCCACGGTAACTTTTCCCATAGATCCACGTTAAAAATTACTGTAGATCGTAGACGGTAAAATTACGTGGATTATGTGTTGCCGGAAAAGTGGGGCAGGCCTTCTTTATGCGTAGGGGGCCTTCGGCCGCGCTTAGGGATTATAATCCTTACTACTCACAATTCTCCTTTCTGTGTTGCCGGAGAAGTGGGACAGAACTTCTTTCTGCGTAGGCGGCCTTCTGCCGCGCTTAGGGATTATAACCCTTACCACTCACAATTCTCCTTTCTATGTTGCCGGAGAAGTAAGACAGAACTTCTGCGGGCGTAATTTTGACCGTGGATCTACGGTAATTTTTACCGTGGATCCACAGTAAAAGTTACCGTGGCGCGTGTAAGTAGACACTCTCTAAATATTAACTAATGTCCCCTTTTTCCAACAGAAAATACCCGAGTATTTGATTGAAATGGGAATGATACCATTAGAATCAGAGATTCACGATACAAATTCAAAATTATTTGTGGTCTTCTTGGAGGGAAAACTATTGGGTCACATACGTCAAGTGGATGCGGAAAAAATTGTAAACAGACTACGTACTTTGAAAATTGATGGATATTTGCCTGAAATGATGGAAATCGCATACATACCTTATAAAGCAAAAGGACAATTTCCAGGATTATTTCTCTTTGTGGGACCCGCACGTTTTATGCGACCAGTTCGAAATTTAGCTGTTGGAAAAATCGAGTATATTGGCTCACTGGAGCAAGTATATATGGATATTGCAATCGACTTAAAAGAGTTCTATCCTGGCTTTACCACTCATATGGAATTGTCTAAAACTGAATTTCTCAGCAATTTGGCGAATTTGATCCCAATGCCAGACTACAATCAATCTCCAAGGTAAGACAGTCACGACTATTTTGCAGTTTAGTAGCTCTACATACATTATTAGCTAAAACAAATTTTCAGAAACATGTATCAATGTCAGATGGGTAAGCAAACTATGGGCACACCATGCCTTAACTGGCCAAAGCAAGCTGCCAATAAATTGTACCGTTTACAAACCCCAACAACACCGCTTTTTAGACCTGTACATCATGATAACGTCAGGCTTGATGACTTCGCTATGGGAACAAATGCTATAGTGGCAGTGATTTCATACACAGGTTATGATATGGAGGATGCCATGATTATCAACAAGTGTGCATATGAGCGTGGCTTTGCTTATGGTAGCATTTATAAATCAAAATTTATCGAATTAGATGGGGCTAGTTTTTTCGCCCGTAGTCCACATTTGCCCGACCTAAATAAGATCTTGGACAATGATGGTTTGCCTCACGCTGGCACAAAATTATGGCATGGTTGTCCTTTCTACTGGTATGACAAAATTTAAATATTTAGAGTTCGGTTGCATAACTATGTAATTTTAGCTACTTCGATGTGGATACTTCAACCTATAAAGTTGTAAAATTAGACGAAAAAGAAGACTGCGTTGTAGATAGTGTACGTTATTGCGGTAACTTTAAGGCAAACGCACGTCGAATGGTATGTGTGACTCTGCGCATACCTCGCCCGCCTACAATTGGCGACAAATTTGCATCTCGTGCCGGACAAAAAGGCATTTGTTCGCAGCGTTATCCGGCTGAAGACTTGCCTTTCAGCGAAACGGGGCTAATACCGGATATTGTTTTCAACCCACATGGTTTCCCCTCTCGAATGACAATCGCTATGATGATCGAAACCATGGCGGGCAAAAGCGCTGCCTTACACGGACTCGTACACGACGCAACGCCATTTCGCTTCTCAGAAAAACATACCGCAATCGATTATTTCGGTCGCCTACTAGAAGCCGGTGGATATAATTATTACGGCACAGAACGTCTTTATTCCGGTGTAGATGGACGTGAAATGTCAGCAGACATATTCTTTGGTGTAGTTCATTATCAACGACTTCGTCACATGGTGTTCGATAAGTGGCAAGTGAGATCCACAGGTCCAGTTGATGCTATAACGCAACAGCCCATAAAGGGTCGCAAGCGCGGTGGTGGTGTCCGTTTCGGAGAGATGGAGCGTGATGCTTTGATCTCACATGGTGCAGCCTTTCTTCTGCAAGATCGTCTTTTTCATAACTCTGATAAGACACACACACTGGTGTGCAGCAAGTGTGGCAGTATACTGGCGCCCCTGAAGAAGATCATTATGCGCTTAGAGACTGGCAAATTACAATCGATGCCAGACACTTGTCGGCTGTGTGGGGATGGCACCGCTGTGGGGTACATTGAAATACCATTCTCATTTAAATACTTAGTAAGTGAATTAAGTTCAGTAAACATAAATGCGAGATTAAAGTTAATGAATATTTAAAAAGTAAATCAAATACCTATTAATACCGGATAACAAGAGCTCGAGCTGGAAAGGTTTTTAAGAATACTCTTTTTTTGGGGGTTTTGCATTAGTAGCCGCTTCCTAAGAGTTAGGACCGCATACTCCAGGTTGTTCCTCCCTGGATGTTATCTTCTGACTAGAGTAGGTGAACTTCAGTGCGTAATGTCGATTTTGACCAGATGTGACAGCTGGGACGTCTTGACGTCTTGTTACAACGATTGCAATGGGCGTGCCGAAGTTGGTTTGAAATGCTTGTAGTCAAAGTGCGGCTTTTATTAGCCTTGCGAGGTGGAGGCAGTAAAAAAAAACAGACAAATGAAACGAATGTACTAGTTACAACACCAGTACTATACATATGCATATGTAAATAATACTCAGGAATTACAGTAAACATAAAAGTTAGAAGACGATATTGGCTTTTTGTAAAAAGTTAACCAGTTGAGTTATCTTGGCTAGATTTTTGTCACGAAAGATTGCCTCAAAGTTGGTATGTGTTCTGCAAATTTCGTATCTGGATCTGACATTCGTGTGCCGCCTGCAGTGGAAAGTCTGAGGTATGTATCCATCAGATTGACCACACGAGCAGCGATTTGACCGATAGCCCCGAACTGGTAGCTTTTGTCATAGGTGTGGCCTGTTGTTGTTGTTGTAGCGACTACAACAACCCCGACATCTCAGTCCTTGTCGTCAAGCTTCACTAACGGAAGCCCAAGGAAGCGTGCAGAATCAATGGGGTCGGTGCACAGGGACAAAGGCGTTAGTGTTTTTGGGTTTTCCGGGCATACGAAGAGATGTTTCGAGTCGTGGGGTGTCTCTCCGCATGTCGGACACTCATTTGGCACATCTGCGTCTAATCTGCTCAGGTATGAGTTTAACCTGCTGCAGTAGCCAGAGCGCAGTTGGGCTATTGTATTTCTAGTCTCCCGAGGCAGATGAAGCTCCGTCTCGTCGATGTCCGGTGGTTGTGTGCCTGGAACGGCATTCACAGGTCTGGAGTCTACATAACTTGAGACTGGCTCCCTGTGAATGCCGTTCAGGGCCTGTCGATATGCTGTCGGACCCAGAGGCTGCTTAATGAACCTCTGGACTTCGTCCGTCAGTTCGTAGAGATGCCTCCTGACGTGCCTGGACGAGGGCTCTTCTGCAAGCAGTTGTCTAATTGGGTGACCACGTCTGTGGCTCCCAACCAGAAACTGTTTGCAGAGCATTGCGTTATGCTTTTTAATAGGGAGCATTTTCGCCTCATTGTGCAGGTGGTATTCTGGCGACATCAGAAGGCATCCAGTCGCTGACCTAAGTGCAGTGTTTTGTGTCGTCTGTAGCTTCATCCACTGCGTCCTACTAGTCTCCGGCGACCAAACTGGTGCTGCGTAATTTAAAACCGGCCGGCCTATTGACTTGTATGTTGCCAGCAACGTTTCTTTGTCTTTGCCCCAAGTACTGCCGGCTAGCGACTTGAGGATCTTGTTGCGGCTCTGTACTTTGTTGACAATAGCGGTTGCGTGCGCAGAGAAGGAGAGCAGACTGTCGAAGGTTATTCCGAGTATTTTGGGGGTTTTCACTATCGGAATTGGTGTATCATCGCCGTGAATTCCCAGCGGTATCCTGACCTCTTTCATCCAGGTGGTGAGCAAGGTCGCAGAGGATTTTGTTGGGGAGAGGGTTAGGCTCCTTGCAGTGAAGAAGGGAGAAAGCTCGGAGAGATACCCGTTTACTTTCGAACACAAGTCATCAATTCCATTCTCAGACGCCATGATCGAGCAATCGTCGGCGTAAGAGAAAATCGAGACTCCGTCTGGTGGTTGAGGGAGCTTTGAAATGTAAAAGTTAAATAGCTGTGGGGAAAGGACACCACCCTGTGGAACCCCCTGTTTTATTTTTCTGAGTTTGCTCGATTCGTCTCTGAACATTACAGACGAGTGTAGACCACTCAGATAATTCGCCGACCACCGTTTGAGCCTCTGTGGGAGAGAGGAAGCCTCTATATCTTCTAGTAGCGTGGAATGGCAGACGGTGTCAAACGCCTTTGACAAGTCCAACGCTACTAGAATCGTTCTCACAGGGACGGTTTCGGTTAAGGCCACGAGTTATCTGAGTGTTTATGGCGTTAAGTGCTGTTGTTGTACTGTGCACTTTACGGACACCATGCTGATGCTTCGCTGGGGTCAGGTGGTGCGTGAAAAACGGGAGCAGCAAGGCCTCTAGTGTGTTCGCTACCGGGAAAAGGAGTGTTATCGGGCGTTAAGATTCTCCTTTGTTTGCTGGTTTCCCCGGTTTGAGCAGTGGGACCACTCTCCCCACCTTCTAGATGTCTGGGATGATGAGAGTGGCCATTGACATATTGAGGACCTCCGTTAGGTCAGCATCAACATGCATATTCCGTCGGGACCCATGGCTTTGGCGGCTTTCGCCTTCCCGATGACCACCTGAACTTCACCGCAAGTGAAAGCAAGGGGGGCACAAGTTGTTGGCAGTTTGTGCAGCCTTCTGGTCATTCGGCGCTTGTCTTTGTCCACCGGAGGACGCAGTATGAACTGCCGGCTAAAATAGCTCGCGCATCGCTCCGGGTCCGACGAAGCATGGTCGCCGAATGAAATTTCGACCCTCTCTTCGTGCTTCGTCGGATCGGACAGTGACCTCACGGTTGACCAAAGCTTACTCACACCAGAGGTGAAGTTACAAGTCTTCAGATGCTCTTCCCATTTCTTCCGCTTATGTACGTTCACAAGTTGCCAAATCTCCGCGTTGAGATCCCTGATACGGGGATTTCCGAGATCGGCTAGAACAGCCACTTCAGCAGGGAAGTTTGGCAGCAGCAGCAGTGACAACCCTGCAGAGCTTACGAGAGCGCAGCGAAGGTGCTCTCAGTAAATTCCGCGAAGCCTTTCCAATCAGCTTTAGAAAAGTTGATATAGGTCCGGTGTTCCGCGGAAGCAAACTCGGTTGGTTTATCGATCGAGATGACTATGGGCAGACGGTCTGATGCCAAAGTCAGCATAGGTCGCCATGATACGCTGTTTATCAGACCAGCGGTGACTATTGTTATGTCTGGCGAGTTGCAGCAGCTGCCCATATCCAGGTGGGTGCGTCGTCGTTCATTGTGCAGAATGTCGAATCGTCTCTCTGCTCAGCCAAGTCTGTTCCCCTACGATTGTTTGACAGGCTTGAAGAAAGAAAGAAAGAAAGATCGTGGTGCGCATTAAGTCACCTACTACCATACGGTTTTCGCCCCATGAAGACGGTTGTCTTCTCGATCTTGCTCTGAAGTCCGTTACAATTAAATTGAAGGAGCTTGTGGTTCGGGGGACGTGGTGTTGCGGTTGTGTCTGTTGTGTGGTCTGTCGTGGTTGTGGTGTGGTCTATTGTGTTATTGTGTTGTGGTGCTGTGGTGTTTGTGTTGAGCTGCTCAGCTGGACTTGGGTTAGCCGTCAAGGCTGCTCTGTTTGAGCAGCAGGGGGCCACAAATGACGTGGTCCACTGCCGATGGGTCCGTAGTCCTGAGGTGACTCCACCCGTCGCAAGCATCGCACCTGACTGAGATGGAGTTGTGGTGTAGCCGTCTCTCGCATACACAGCAGGTGTAGGTTTCTGGCCCTTTCACTGAACAAACTTTACACTAGAGGCATAACCTGGCGTTTGAGGACAGAACTCTATCAGCCCAATTCTGAATATTCCCGAGGATTTCACTTCTCGCGGATTTTACTTTTCTCGAGAATAAAATCCTATTCGAAACTGCCAGGGAGCAGCATTTTCCCCGAAAATTTGGGAGCTGGAAATTCGAACTTTCTAAGAGCTGTTTGACAGTTATTTTGACAGCTCAACTCCCGCCATTTAATTTGCGTGCTTTACACATAAAAGTGTGTTTCACATAAAAGAGTATTTCAGATTAAAGTCGTTAATTAATTAGTGCGCGGAAATTTCAAATCTGTGATTTGAATTAAAGCTCAATCTTTTAACTACACGGTTAAGTTGAAAGATTTTAATTTAGATCGCGCGCAAATAGAATAAGAGTACCCTCTGCTAAGTCCAGTTGCCACTGTGAATTTTGGGAGTCACATTATTAATAAACTAGAGCTCCGGAAATTTATATATTAGTGCTAAATTAAAACTTAGTCTTTTAACTACACATGTGAGTTGAAATATTTTGATTTCAATCGCGCGTTTTCACATAATAAACCAAAATAAACTAGCTTCCATTGGGCTTATTAAGATTTCTACCTGTTTCTCACTTGTTATTTTGGACCTAAAATGAAAGGTTTAAAAGTTTTATTACACCAAATTTCCTTTAGATTGTAATTAACTTACATTTTTGTAGGAGTTCCATTTTAAAATACCGGTGAAAATTCTCCCAGAATAACGAAATCAATTCTCCTCCTTTTTGACATTCGTAATACGTACTTTTTTCCATGAAATACATTTTCCTTTTTTCGAAGATCGTTTAGAATAGGAGAATAGGTAAAAGAGGAAAAAATCCTAAGGGAATTTTTATTCATGATAGGAGAAAAGAGAAATGGGGAAAAATTCCTAGGGAGTTTCTATTCAGAATCCATGAATCAATAATACAAGGTGGTATCAGTTGTGACAGCTCAATTTGACACTGCCTTAGCTCAGTAGAATAAGAAGAAAAACGGGAAGAAATGAATCCCCATTTGGGGGAAAAATATAAAATAGCATATTTTCTTCTAAACAATATTAGCTTTTTTATAGTATTTTCGCAATGAAATTAAATAAAATAAGATATAACACCTTTTTGAGGAAACAAAATGTGTATACAGAGAAAAAAAAAAAAAAAAAAAAAAAAAAAACAACTACATTATTAGGCAAAGAATTTTTAGGACGTAACACTGATTCAGCTAAGGCAGTCATATGGCGAAATTAGAGAAGTTGCCAACCAATAACAACTTTGTGTTATTGCATCATGTTCAGAATCGGGCTGTATACTGGCTGTATCAAGGCGTATTTAACAAGGTGGTGTTGGCCGTATATA